TTATACTTTAAAGACTTATAATGAGACAATTGCTGTGAATTGATTTTTTTTCTGACTCTCCATTTTATTTCTTTAAAATGGATAATTTTTCTTCATTTTGTATTTGAAGTCACAAAAATGAATAGAATTTTATTTTACATATTATCACAAGCAATCTAAGGCCAGGCTTCCTTTGCCTGGACAATAAATCACACTCTATCCAAACATTCCTTAACCTTAACCTTAAAAGAGGAGCCTCTATTAAGTGACAGTGTCAGATTTTCATTTTGTATGCAAACCAGCCTAATGACTTCTCTGAATGATGTGGCTAAATTACAGATAGATTTTGCAAGAAGCGGCTTGGGGAGTGGAGCACCATTCCATGTGAATATAAATTGACATCTGGGAACCATATTTCAATGATTCTGATTCATGGAAGTACAAACTAACACACTGTTTAACTTTAGCGTAAACCCTCAGAGAAATTGTGCTAACGACTATTAATGCTGTTTCCCTGGTGTTTCTGCTGATCTTCTACCAAAGTTATGGGAAGAGATCAGTAAGGCCTCTGTGGAAATTCTAGGCAAAGCCAGGTCGTTCAGATAAGGGAGTACCTTTGTTCTGCCCTTTTCTTTACATGGGAACATTGGAATTGCAGATGAAAAAGGACTACATTTCATGTTGACCTACTGCAATCTTGAGAGTTACGTTACTTAATGATAACGGATATGTTGTCTGATCATAGTCGTCAATCTTGTTCAATTAATCTGGAACAGATTCAAAGAAAATTTGCAATATAAACCCAAGGAATGAAGGGCCCAAAAGGACCATTTTGGCCCATGAATATTATGGTTAATGATTTTACAAAGCTTAAGTTACTGATACGCTGTATGTCCCATTTCATGAAGACCTTCTCACATTGCTCGCGAGAATACAGTTTCTTACAGAAGCACAATATCACCACTTAATAGCAACTGTCTATAAATTATATGGTATAAAACTAAAGCATGTTGTACTTTTATATTCTTTAACCTTGTGTTGATCCTCACCACATAAGGAATCAGTGTGTTAAAGAATGATTTCTACGTACTGTTGAGTTACAAGCATGATCTGATTAATATAAAGCTTTTAATTACCACTAGATGTTTCAAGGTGCTTATAGCCAAAGAAGTAATTTTAAAGTGCAGTCTCTGTGTTAATGTGAGAGCTTGCACAATTAAGGTAGCCTGGGACCAGGACATTCATCACAGTTCTAAAAGTTTTTGTGAGCAGGATAAATAATTGAAATTCAATGTTATTTTTGTCGTCATCTTCAGAGCTTTCCACATCATGTGTCATTTCAAGGACCTTGCCTCTTCACTTTCAGCATTTCACTGTATGATATTATTTTAAGGCACTCTTGGCACATCGATTAAGTGTTTCTTGGGCATTCCTGAAATTCATTCACTTTTTACCACTGTTCAAATTCTTCCTCCTGCTATAACAATCTCACCTGTTACAGGTGTTTTATTCCTCATTCAGCCTGTCTTTAACTGATGCCAATATGTGTATTATTTTAAAATCTGGAATTCATTGAATATTCTGTTGTTTATGTCAAAACAGAATATTTCATTTGTTCCAACAAGGCTAAAGAAAACCTCCCAGTCGCGAACCACTTCAACTCCCCCTCCTACTCCCTGGACGACATGTCCATCCTGGACCTCCTCCAGTGTCACAACGATGCACCCAAAAACTGGAGGAACAGCACTTCGTATGCCACCTTGGAATCCCACAACCCAATGGTCTCAATGTGAACTGTATGAGCTTCAAAATCACCCCAACTCCGACCTCATCCCAAGTCCAGCAACCCCCTCTCGTCTCCGCCTCCTTGACCTGTCCGTCTTCCCTCCCACCTACCCGCCCCTCCCTCCTCACCAACCAATCCCCATTCCAACTCCCTACCTACACTCACCTTTACTGGTTTCATCCCCGCCTCCTTGACCTGTCCTTCTCTCCACCTATCTGCTCCACTATCCATCTTCTATCACCGCCTGCCCCTCTCTCTATTTATTTCAGAGCCCTCTTCCCCTCCCCCATTTCTGAAGAAGGGTCCAGACCTGAAACGTCAGCTTTCCTGCTCCTCTGATGCTGCCTGGCCTGCTGTGCTCATCCAGTTCCACACCTTGTTACCTCAGACTCCAGCATCAGCAGTTCCTACTATCTCTAAAGAAAATGACTCTTTTCCCCAGGATTTTTCTGGCCAGTAGATAACTAATTTAATAGAGTCTCCATCTCCATGAGCTAGACACCAGTTAGAACTAAGATCTTGTACAAATGGGACACCTTGGAATAACACAGTAATTTCAACAACAGTACTCATCAAGCCATTCTGAAATTAATTTTTTTAAATCTTTATACAATCTGTTAGAGTTTATGATTGTCATTCTCTGAAAGACCAATGTCCTACATCTTCTGATCTAGAAATAGAAATTCTGACCCAGTTAAGACAATAAGTTGCCTCCTTAGCTTACTATGATTTTTCTGGTCTGACTTGCAAAATAGAATAAATCTGAACAGTCAGTGGAGCAATCCATACAGAGAGCATCAGAGTGAATTTTTGCAGTAGCCAGGCTCCCTTTTTACAACATTAGTTGTCATGTTATTGTAAGTAAACAAAGATCCCAAAGCCATTTTAAAAAGTTACCAAAAGATGGTAAGTGTTTAATATAAGTGCGTGAGTGAGTGGGCTGGCAGGTGGCAGGATGGCAGCATATGGGTGATGGAATGATGAGGCATCTTCCAGCTGTGGAAGTGGGGGTGAGTTTCAGGTATCACGGGCATGTTGGCTGGGTATTACGGGTTGGATGTTGCAAGGGTTTGTGCGGGAAAGGGGTGGCGAGTTGTGTGTTTATCAGTTACCGGAAGGCATCACAAGGCATGCTTGATGATGCAATGAGAGTGATATATATGAATATATGTGTTGGGAACAAGAAGAGGTTATTTGACAACCACAAGCCTGGTAGGTTTCAAAAAACAAATGGGCCCGATCTTCAGTTTCCAGGTTGTTGTAAAAGTTAAACCTACTCTAACTCGAGTATAACTATAAAACTAACCTCACAATCTCATACTGACTTCAAACACCACCTCTACATATCATAGTATGGTGTATAGTATTGGTTTCCATTTTAAGGAAGGGTGTAAACTGATTGGAAGCAGTTCAGAGAAGGTTTACTCATTTAATACCTAGCATTGTTAGGTTGTCTTATGTTGAAAGGTTGAACAAACTAGGTTTATGTCTACTGACATTTAGAAGAGTAAGCAATGACTTGATTGAAACACATAGGTCCTGAGAGGGATTTAAAGGATGCAAGTGGACATCATATTTCCTCATGAGTGAATCTAGAACTAGGGACCACTGTTCAAAAATAATGACTTGCACATTTAAAACAGAAATGAGGAGAAATATTTTATCTCAAGGGGTCATGAATTTTAGAACTAAAAAGGCACTGGAAGCAGAGTCCTTGGATGTTTTTAAGGCAGAGGTGTATAGATGCTTGGTAAGCAAGGGGGTGAAAGAGTGAAGTTATATCCAGATAGAGTTGAAGTTATATCCAGATCAGCCATGATATCATTCCAATCAGTTGAGAAACCTATCAAATTCTAATAGAAGATCCAAACCTTCATTGCTGTCAAACTGATGGCCTTCCATCTCACAAAACAATTGCTCTCTTTCTCTCATCATGCAACAAACTTGTTGTCCAAAATTGTTGATCATGTCTTAATGATACCATAAAAGGGCAAGTAGAAGATGTAGACTCTGAAAACTACCTCAGCTGCTACAGGGATTGAACCTGTGCTTTCATTAAGCATCATGCTTTAACCAACTGAGTTAATTGATCCTATCCACAAAATGCCTAATGGTTTAAACTTGGTTTCTGTCGCTTTTCTCAATGGTCGATAGGTGTTTGGACTTCTACCAATTTTTTAGTCTTTCCAAACTTCACTTTTAGGCAGCAATTCTCTACTAACATGTTGAAAATTGGAACCTCTTAGCAGAATTTGAAAAACACAGGGAGACGTGCTGAAGTATTGATTAAAGTTGAAACTAACAGGATCTCACAGTGTAATTTACTATACCAACTGAACAGTAGAATATCCTTGTCATTGCTAAAGAAATTTCTTTTCTGTGAAATCCTGTGTGATTTAGAATATTAACAAAAAATAAGTTAATAGCATTAGTGGAAGAGTAGGAGTTAGAGATAAAAGCAGATGCTAAAAAAAATGTAACACTGTGGCATTCAGAATTGGAAGAAGGAAAAGCTGACCCAGGCCCAATGCAGGTTGAGTTGGTTAGGGTTCAATTGTAGATGAAAAAGCGAAAAATTAACAAAATACAGAGAAAAGACATTAAGGAAAGAAAGAGATATGGAAAGAAGAAAGAGAGAATCAGCATGAAGAGGAACAAGAAATGCTTCTTTTACAGAGTGAAGGGAGAACTGGATGTTTTGAACAGTGGTTCAAAACCAACTCCGAATTTTGACTTGTACAGCAAAAGTAAATGGTTGTGTAGCCATTAAAGTTAATATAAGGACCTGCACAGAATCTTACTTCAAAGCAAAGATTATGATGTAACTTTGGGTTGATCCTTAAAAAAAGTGAATGAACTTTCAACATTTTGCCAAATAAGTAAATTCTTGGGGATTAGAGGTGGTGGTGGGGTGTAGGAGAGTAACATTAGAACTCAGAGTTTAGTATAAGGTTGTACAAGTTTTCTGTTAAATTAGTGGTGCTTGCTTCATTTCATTTCTGTTTATGTACAATAATGTTTGAAATTTTTTAAAAGCGTGTAACCTTGTGGCACAGTTCAGTTGATTAATTGCTGGGTGTTTGGATTTCTTAGAAGCTTAGTTGTATCTAATAGGATCATAACACTGAGAAAAATTGAGATTTTACTTTGAGGGCTTAATAGAAATTCATGCTGAATATATACTTTATTATGGATTTTAGATAAATGATATGCAGTGTGCAATTTGGAGTCATGTTATAGAATTGTACTTTTTGCAAAACCTTGTCTGTTTTCTTTTTAATCTTATCTTCATTGGACACTTAGTGTCCACAAGACTGAACAGCCACAAATCACTGGATCTGGACTGTATAAACCATTCCCGTATAATTAAATAATGCAAAATAAACTTAAGTAACGCACCATAATCAGCAATATGAACTGTCCTGTATTCTGGTTTGTGGATTCTTTTTCCTTTGATACATTCATGCAGAGCAGCATTATCTTCCAGTATGTAGGAGTCTATATAATAAAAACGAAATAAATACATTTGTTTAGGTAGCATAAAAGACATGATAATTTTTACATCAATCGTGAGGGTGACCAAACATATCAAAACTATTGCAAAGTACATCACATTTATTACACTACTCAGGGTATACAACATTTTTATGAGTGACAGTAAAACATCACAATAGAAAATCACTTGACCCGTGCAAATGTAACCACAAGATTAAGAAGATTAATAAAAACAAAAAAAATTCAGAATAGAAATGAACTTTCCATATTTTATATTTACTAGTGCATTATTTTGTCATTTTACATTATTCTCATGTTACTCTATGACCTACTATTATTCTCATTATTCAAGACAATGCACTTCATTAACATTTAGTGGAAAACCAACCAGTCACTTTTATCTGAGTGACTTTAATTCTCTGCTAATGTTATTGATTCTGACCTTGACAATATACATCAAGAGGCAAGAACTGGATAAATATTTCACATAAACAATGAAATCCCAACAGTACTGTGGCCCCTCAGTAATACATTGAAGTATCATTCTAGGCTATACACTTAATAGTTTGGTCTGGAACTTAAAGCCTCTGCAGCATCTTGGTGCAGAATTCATTGTGCTATCTCAGATATGTACAGCACAGAAATAGACCCTTCAATCCAACTGCTAGCCAATCGAGCTATGTGAGACCCCTTGGGGATGAGCGACCATATCTTGATAGAATTTTTTTTTATCAAGATGGAGAGTAAGGTAGTTGATTCAGAGACGAGGGTGCTGAATCTTAATAAAGGAAACTATGGAGATAAGAGGTGTGAGTTGGCCTTGATAGATTGGGGACAGCTACTTAAAGGGATGACAGTGGGTAGCCAATGGCAAACATTCAAGGAACGCATGGGGGAACTGCAACAACTGTTTATTCCTGTCTGGCACAAAAACAAAATGGGTAAGAGGGCCAATCCATGGCTTACAAAGAAAACTAGAGATAGTATTCGATCCAAGGAAGAAGTATACTGATTGGCCAAGAAAAATAAAATGTCTGAGGATTGGGAGCAGTTTAGAATTCAGCAAAGAAGGACCAAGGGATTGATTAAGAAGGGGAAAATACAGTACAAAAGTTAGCTTACAGGGAACATAAAAACTGATGCTAAGAGTTTCTATAGGTAGATGAATAGAAAGAGATTGGTGAATTCAAAGATAGTAGGAACTGCAGATGCTGGAGAATCTGAGATAACAAGGTGTAGAGCTGGATGAACACAGCAGGCCAAGCAGCATCAGGGGAGCAGGAAAGCTGATGTTTCGGGCCTAGACCCTTCTTCAGAAATGGGGGAGGGGAAGGGGGTTCTGAAATAAATAGGGAGAGAGGGGGAGGCAGATAGAAGATGGATAGAGGAGAAGATAGGTGGAGAGGAGACAGACAGGTCAAAGAGGTGGGGATGGAGCCAGTAAAAGTGAGTGTAGGTGGGGAGTTAGGGAGGGGATAGGTCAGTCCAGGGAGGACGGACAGGTCAAGGGGACGGGATGAGGTTAGTAGGTAGGAGTGGGGCTTGAGGTGGGAGGAGGGGTTAGGTGGGAGGAAGGGCAGGTTAGGGAGGCGGGGACAAGCTGGGCTGGTTTTGGGATGTGGTAGGGGGACGGGAGATTTTGAAGCTTGTGAAGTCCACATTGATACCATTGGGCTGCAGGGTTCCCAAGCGGAATATGAGGTGTTGTTCCTGCAACCTTCGGGTGGCATCGTTGTGGCACTGCAGGAGGCCCAGGATGGACATGTCGTCTGAGGAATGGGAGGGGGAGTTGAAATGGTTCGCGACTGGGAGGTGCAGTTGTTTAGTGCAAACCGAGCGTAGGTGTTCTGCAAAGCGGTCCCCAAGCCTCCGCTTGGTTTCTTGATGTAGAGGAGGCCACAATAGGAACAGCGGATACAGTATACCACATTAGCAGATGTGCAGGTAAACATCTGCTTGATGTGGAAAGTCTTCTTGGAGCCTGGGATAGGGATGAGGGGGGACGTGTAGGGGCAGGTGTAGCACTTCCTGTGGTTGCAAGGAAAAGTGCCAGGTCTGGTGGGGCTGGAGGGGAGTGTGGAGCGGACAAGGGGGTCACGGAGAGAGTGGTCCCTCCGGAAAGCAGATAAGGGTGGGGAGGGAAAAATGTCATTGGTGGTGGGGTTGGATTGCAGATGGCGAAAGTGTCGGAGGATGATGTGTTGGATCCGGAGGTTGCTGGGGTGGTACGTGAGGACGAGGGGGAATCTGTTTTGGTTGTTATTGTGGGGAGGGGGTGTGAGGGATGAGTTGCGGGAAATGCGGGAGACACGGTCGAGGGCATTCTCTCCACCTTTCTTCTCCTCTATCCATCTTCTATCCGACTCCCCCTCTCTCCCTATTTATTTCAGAACCCTCTTCCCCTCCCCCATTTCTGAAGAAGGGTCTAGGCCCGAAACGTCAGCTTTCCTACTCCTCTGATGCTGCTCGGCCTGCTGTGTTCATCCAGCTCTACACCTTATTGGTGAATTCAAACGTAGGTCTCCTACAGACAGAAATAGGGAATGTATAATAGGGGACAAGAAATGGTTGAGCAACTGAGTACATACTTTGGCTCCGTCTTCACAAAAGAGGACATAAATCAGATCCTAGAAATGTTGGAGAATGCAAGATTTAATGAGAGGGAAGAATTGAGGGAGATCAATATTAGCAGAGAAACGGTGCTAGGAAAATTGATGGGATTGAAGGTGGATAAATCCCCAGGGCCTGATAATCTACATCCCACAGTACTTAAGGAAGTAGCTCTAGAAATAGTGGATGGATTGGTGGTCATCTTCCAGGATTCTATAGACTCTGGAACAGTTCCTGCAGATTGGAGGATAGCTAATGTCATCTAATATTCAAAAAAGGAGGTAGACAGAAAACAGGGAATTATAGACCAGTAAGCATAACATCAGTCGTGGGGAAAATTCTCGAATCCATTATCAAGGACTTTATAGAGGAGTTATTTAGAAGGCAATGGCAGGATCAGACAGCGTCAGCATGGATTTATGAAAGGGAAATCATGCTTGACAAATCTGTTGGAATTCTATGAAAATGTAACTAGTAGAGTTGACATAGGGCAGCTAGTCGATGTGGTATGTTTGGACTTTCAGAAAGCGTTTGACGAAGTCCCACAAAAGAGATTATTGTGCAAGATTAAAATGCATTGGATTGAGGGAAGTTATTGCCAGATAGAAAACTGGTTGGCAGAGAGGAAACAAAGAGTAGGAATTAATGGGTCCTTTTCAAATTGGCAGGTAGTAACTAGTGGGGTGCCACAAGGATCGGTGATGATACCCCAGCTATTCACAAAATATATTAACAATTTGGATGACAGAACAAAATGTGACATCTCAAAATGTGCAGATGATACCAAGTCGAGTGGGAGGGTGAACTGTGATGAAGATGCAGAGATCCTTCAGCATGATGTGGACAGGTTCTGTAAGTGGGCAAATGGCAGATGCAGTATAATTTGGATAAATGTGAGGTTATTCACTTTGGAAGCAAAAACAAGAAGGCAGATTACTACCTGAATGCCTGTAAATTGGGAGAGGGGAGTGTGCAGTGGGACCTAGGTGTCCTTGTGCACCAGTCGCTGAAGGTAAGCATGCAGGTGCAGCAGGCAGTAAAGAAGGCAAATGGTATGTTGGCCTTCATTACAAGAGGTTGAGTACAGTAGCAGGGATGTGTTTTGTTGCAGTTATACAGGGCCTTGATCAGGCCACACCTCGAATATTCTCTGAAGATGTAACTAGTAGAGTTGACAAGAGGGAGCCAATCGATGTGGTATATTTGGACTTTCAGAAAGCATTTGACAAAATCTCACATAAGAGACTATTGTTTAAGATTAAAACGCATCGGATTGGGGGAAGTTATTGAAATGGATGGAAAACTGGTTGGCAGATTGGAAACAAAGAATATGAATTAATGGGTCCTTTTCAAATTGGCAGGCAGTAACTAGTGAGGTACCACAGTGTGTAATTTTGGTCTCCTTTTCTGAGGAGGATGCTCTTGCTCTCAAGGGAGTGCAGCGAAGGTTTAGCAGGCTGATCCCAGGGATGGCAGGACTGATGTATGAAGAGAAATTGACTAGGTTAGGATTTTATCCACTGGAGTTCAGACGAATGAGGGGGGATCTCATAGATACTCATAAAATTCCAACAGGACTAGACAGGGTAGATGCTGGGAGGACGTTCCTGATGGTGTGTGTATCCAGAACCAGGGACTACAGTCTGATGATTCAGGGTAGACCATTTAGGATGGAGATCAGAAGACATACCTTCACCCAAAGAGTGGTGCGCCTATGGAATTCATTACTACAGGAAGTAGTTGATGCCAAAACATTGAATGTATTCAAGAGGTGGCTCGATATAGCACTTGGGGTAAATGGGATCAAAGGTTATGGGAGAAAGGAGGATTAGGCTATTGACTTAGATGATCAGCCATGATTGTCATGAATAGTGGAGCAGCTTTGAAGGGTTGAATGGCCTCCTCGTGCTCCTTGCTGCCTAGATATCCTGAATTAATCTCGTCCCATTGTCAGCATTTGGCCCATATCCCTCTAATCCGTTCCTGTTCATATACCCATCCAGATGCCTTTTAAATTTTGTGATTGTATCAGTCTCTACCACCTCCTCTGGAAGTTCCTTCCATATATGCACCACTGAATGCGTGTAAAAGTTGCCCCTTAGGTCCCTTTTAAATCTCTCCTCTCTCACCCTAAACTAATGTCCTCTAACTTTTTACTCCCCTACCCTAGGGAAAAGATCTTGACTATTCACTCCATCAATGCCCTTCATAATTTTGTAATTATTAGACAAAGACTGATTATGACTTGAGTATGACAAGTAAAAGTAAACGAATGAATTTAGTCTCACTTTTATGAAGAATTTAACTTAAATGTGCTTTATAATTGGCAATACAGGATTAACATCAAGAAAATATTTCGTATTTATATTCTTTGACTGCTCTCAAACACGGGAATAATTTCAGCTTTGAGTTTGAGGCAATCATTCTGTAAATTTGCAAATAAGTAAGGTTAGGATCACTAAATATTGGTATCATTAACCTGCTGCTTCTGCAGTTTTCAACAGAAAACTTGGTTACATTCTTGACATTTAAAAGGGCGATTGTTAATGAAAAGCTGTTCCTCAAATCATTTTCTGTTTGTTTACAAAGACAAATGGCACAGAGCCAAATCAAGTGGATTACTTCATCCACAAAATTGAAAGACATTTCTTCAGAAGGATGTAAAGGGACAAATGAGAAAACCTGATGTGTCTGATGAAGCAGTGATGTCTGCAAGATCTAGCTGTACCTGTGTGCTCTGTTTCAATGGCATAATAATGTCAATGGGGCTCCTTGCTGTTTTAAGGTCCAAAATCTGTTTTCAAAAGCTGTTTAAAATTATGGTCAAACAACTGAAGCATAAAATATACATTAATAAAGAATTCTTAATTATCTCCAAGTAAGTTAATCTTATAGATCTAGAATTATATACTTACTGTTTGGATTGCTTGTGCTATGGACGGAGACCATTGGTATATTAGGACCTGTATGAAACACAGAAAATAAAAGATTAGTCTAATATTCTGTAATATTAAATTATTTATATGCTTTTGTGTGAGGCAAGATGGGTTTAGTATGATATTATTAGTCTTCATTGAATATGTTTTAGTTGTCCCCTGATCTAAAGGTACATCAGTGAAACAAAGAAGGTCATAATTGGATCTTTTAATGTGAATACATTTCTTTTTATAATTTTCAGAATAAAGGATATTAATAGAACATTTATGTAAACTTATATGAATCACACAATTAATTTATAGTACTGTCTTTAAATATGTACAACTATTTTCAAATTTGAACTTTTTATAGCACGGGAATCACTTGAGAAGCTGAAGATGAAAAAAGAAAGTGGCAGCCAAAAATGGCATTTGAATTTCCACTTGTACCTATTAAAAAGGTAATGTGAGTAAAGATTTTTGAAATTAGCTCCTTTCAAAATGGAAGTGCTCAAACAGTCAGCTTTAAGAAGATTCAAGAAATTTGATCCTGTTCTGAGGTCCTTACTGTCTCATTAAGTGAGCAAATAAAACTGCACATAAGACATTTGACAGAAATATTTGCCTGCAGCCAAAATAGGGACAACATTCCTGCACTGGAATTGAGAGGCCTGGGACACACATAATAACAGGACTCAGTCTCGATAGTGTAGAGAGCTTACTGAAGAAGAGGCCTTGAAGATCTGTGAAGGAGACAATAGGTGCAGATGCATATTTGGGATGGGGGTTACTGGCCATTGGAGGGAACAAGAGAGAGTCCATTGCCAGAACAGTGAGGATGGTCAAGGGAGTGGGCAATTTGCGGGCAGTTAAGAAGGGAAAGAATATCAAGGTGGTAGATAGCAGATTAAGAAATGGAGCAGTGGCCTTGATTAGACGCTGAACAATTGCACTGTAATCTTCCAGAAAAGGCTATCACACTCAAGTGCCAGAGATAACAAGGTGTAGAGCGGATGAACACAGCAGGCCAAGCAGCATCAGAGGAGCAGGAAGGCTGACGTTTCGGACCTAGACCCTTCTTCAGAAAATCCCCTGCACACTCAAGTGCCAGCCAGCTTCACAAGATGTAACGTGGAAAAAAAAGAATGAAATAAGATCTACTGACTAAATGAACACATGAACTGGGAGTTACTTGCATTTCAAGGTTTCCTGGCTGCTATAACCACATTTTGTTCCCACCTCAGTATAGTCAAAATCACCTGAAGCGTTCAAAAGGTACCAGATTGAATCACAATTCATTAAAAATAAAGTATTAGGTTTTGTTTCAAAAGCAGAATACCAAAGATCAGATTGGAATATAAGGTAAAACCTTGAAGGTGGAGTTTTAAAAATTGAGAGTACAATTACATAAGAAATAACAGGATACTATCCTGGGGAATAAGGATAGGTTGACCAGCTTGAGGACTTGATTTATTACTTTACCCATTAAATAGCTGTTCTGCATTGTTGAAGGTAGTATCTGTTCTGCTATCATCTTATTCAATGGAATGTGTATAATAACATGCTCTGTAACGGGCTTAGTTTATACAGAGATAATCAGATACTTTTACTGAACTTTGAAATAGTATTGAACAAGATAATTGAAGAACACAATACATGTGTTTTTTTTTAATGACACAGCTCTTTCCAATATTGCAATTCATTTAAAACAAATGGCTTTTTAAGTAGAGCAGACAAAGAGATTTTACACAAAATGTAGACATATTCATTAATGCTAAAGCACCGCATGATCTGAACCCCTGCTTTTTTGCATTAGTTTTGTCTTTTGTCTGGACTTCTTTTAAAATTGATCCATATAACTGCTGCAAGAAAGAACAGAAGTTAATTAAGCTTTTATGCTACAAATTACAAAGATCTATTATAAAGCACTGATTTGACTCTGTTACTTTTAAATAAATGCGATTGAATACCTTCCACTGTATAAATTCACTGATACAATAATTCAATTGATTCCAAAGAAATAATCTAATCTTGACAATCAAACTACTTTTTTGGCACACAACAGCTGAGATTTATGAGCTCCCTGGAGTGTGGGGAGGGGTGTCTTCAGAGGTAACTGCCTCACAAGCAAGATAGCTTGCCAGGTCAAGCTCCAAACAGCCACTTAAGAGCTTGACCTGGTGAGCTTTATGACAAATCACAAGCCTCCATGATGAAATCCTACTTGGCCAGAAACTGCCAGTTAATCAGAGGCTTGAAACCTCTGGTTCCCAGAGATGGATGGCAAGGGCCTCGGCTTTAGGAGTTCAAATAATGGGAAGGTAAATGCTTTTGTCTAGGGCTTTTTTGGGTTGGGTCATGAAGATGAGATGGGGTGGGGGGGGGTGGGGGGGGGTGGGTTCCAAGACATTGGAAGTAAAGGTTGAGAAGAGTGGCAGCCACCCACTAGAACACCTGACCATCACCACCCCCTCCTCCCTTCCCACCCCCTAATAATGGCACCCTGCAAGTATACTGAATTTTATGTTGGCTTTTGACTAGCTAATTTGTTCTTCTATCTTTAAATTTCTCTGAAAAAGTCTGGACTGACCACAAGGAGACATGTTACAGTGGTCACCAAATCTTCTCTAGTTTTCTTTTGGTAAAGTTCCTAAATTTCATTTGTCACCACAGTGAGTCTGCACTTCCCATTTAAAGTTTTGCGAGAGACAGAAAACAAGTTGGCAAGTCAGCACTATTGTGTAATGGTCTTATCCATGACCTGCATTCCCATGTAGTGATACTCTATGCTGGAGTCTAATCTTCTGAATTCACCCTAAGGAGTACACAGTATTTATTAGACAAATTCAGTAACTGATGACAAAGGTCTTAATTTCTTTTCTGCCAGTTTATGTGTTTGTGGACCTAGCCATTAATAAACAACAAATTATTGGTCACATTTTCTGTGCACGATAAATTATTCAGTAAACATACTCTATTAAATGCTGATTTCTGCAGGCAAACAGGCATAATAAAATGACTCAGACAACAAAATGGAAAGCATTCCTGGAAGGGAGAAAAATAAAACTTTATTTTTGATCTAAGAGCTTCACTATTTGATAAATTTAGTTTATCGACAAAACAATTAATTGGCTTGAAGAGAACCGCACCAGGTTTTGTCAACTCCTCATTGTTATATCATGTCATTTTATTACTATCCACCAAGAAGTCACCAGTTGTCATTCTGAACAGGGCCATCAGGGGAGCTGCTGTTAATATACTCAAGGAGAGGCCTAGGATCGGTGGAAGACCCAAGGAATGGCAAGTTACCCACTCATTACCCTCCCCTCTCCCCAGTTAAATGCCCTCCTTTGCCACCAAACGTGTTTTAGAGTGTGTACATTAAATTCTACCCACAATTTCTTGATTTTTTTAGAAGTATTTTGGTTTAGTGTCCACTTTTTTTTGATGAAACTGAAACGCATGGTCTAAAGAATGGTATATAAAAAAAGGTTACACTGAAAGCACAGTGAAACATAATACTGTTATGACTTAGGGCACAGTTTTGTCCATTATTTTATCAGTTGTGTCTCAGAGGAAAATAAAGTTAAGATCAAACACATCCATTTTCTGCAGTGTTGAGTGTAGAAATGACAGCATGTATATGCTGACAGCAAAAGGACAGTGATTTCACACTTGAAATATAATGCACTTATTATGCACACTAAGATTGCAAAATTTATTCATTATGGCTTCAAATGCTGAATCACACACCACTTCAGTCTTGTGTACTTCCACAGTTTTGTCTATTTTGTAAGCATGAGTAAAACATGGGAACAAACTGGAATACCTGACGTGTAACAAAGGGAAAAGAAAATAGCAAAACTGTAATAATTTGGAAGAAGGTGCTGTAAGCATGGAAACACAATCCACACTGATATTATAAAGTAACAGTTGCTGTAAGAATCTGACACTATCTTACATAAGGTTACACTTAAAGCCTAAAATTTTCCTTCTTCATCAATCAATATAATGGCCATCATGGTAAATTATTTGTGAAGAAAAAAATCAGAATTAACGTTTTGGGTCCAGTGACCCAAGTATCACCAGACCCGAAACGTTAATTCTGATTTTTTTCTCCACAGATGCTGCCAGACCTGCTGAGCTTTTCCACCAACTTCTGCTTTTGTTCCTGATTTACAGCATCCACAGTCCTTTCAGATTTTATATGGTAAAGTATCTGATTGGAAACACCAGTCATCCCTTGATACATTTGATTGAAGAAGGACACAGCAGAAGGAGAGTACAGGGCTACACTGATCAGTCTTGTCAGAATAAAGACTTGTAATCATTCATAACCCATCATCTCAGCTTCCTCTAGAGATCCCTTGCATCATAGACATCGGTCTTCAACCAATTACATTCGCTCGAAGTGATATCAAGAAATTCATCAGATATTGGAAAGGCTATGGACCCTGACTACATTCTGGCAATTGTCTTGGAGACTTGTGCTCCAGAACATGCTACACCTCTACACAAGGTGGTCCAATATAACTACAACATTGGCATCCACCAGACCATGTGCAAAATTGTCCTGTACACATAAAATAAGGCAAATCCAACCAGCCAATTACTGTCCTAACAATGCACCCTCAATTATCAGGAAAGTGATAGAGGTGTTATCAACAGTGCTATCATGCAGTACCTGTTCAACAATCACCTATTCACTAGCACCCAGTTCAGGTGGTCATTGAGCCTTGGTTAAAAGATGGACAAAAGAGCTAAAGACCAGAGATGAGGTCAGACTGACTTCTCTTGGAATCACGGAGCTCCAGCAAAGCTGGAGTCAATGGGGACCACAAGGAATATCTCCTCTATTTGGAGTCATAAATATCTCATTAAAAATTATAGAATACAGAGAAGCCTGAATGGAGTGGACATGGAGATGATATTTTCACTAGCAGGAAAGATAGGACCTAAGGGCACAGCCTCAGAGTGAAAGGATGACCCTTTGTAACTAAGCTGAGAATGAATTTCTTCAGCCAGAATCTGTGGTGAATCTGTGTTACTCATTGCCGCAGAAGACTATGGAGGCCAAGTCACTGAATGTCTTTAAGACAAAGATAGATAGTTTTTGATTAATAAGGGGATCAATATTTTCAGAGACAAGGCAGGAGAAGGGTGTTAAGAGAAGTATCAGTCATGATCGAATGGTGGAGCAGACTTGATAGGTCGAATGGTCTAATTCTGCTCCTCTATCTTATGGTCTTATGCACAAAGGAAGATAGTTGTGGTTGTTGAAGGTCAGTTATCACAGTTCCAGGTCATCTCTGCAGGAGTACGTCAAGTTAGGATCCCTAGGCCCAAACTTCTCCAGTTGCTTCATCAATGAGCTCTCCTTCATGATTAGGTCAGACGTGGGGATGCTCACTGATGATAGCACAATGTTCGGCACTATTTGTTACTTCTCAGACACTGAAGCAGCCCATGTTCAAATGAATCAAGACCTGGAGAATATCCAGGCTTGGGCTGACAAGTGGCTAGTAACATTTGCACCACGCAAATGCCAGGCAATTACTATTTACAACATGAGAGAAAATATCCACCATCCGTTGATAATCAATGGTATCACCATTGTTGCATCCCCCACTATTAACATCTGAGGAGGTTATCATTAGAAATGTGGCTCCAAGAATAAATCAGAGGCTAGAAATCTTGGAACAAGTAACTCATCTCTTGACTCCCCAAAGCCTATTTAACATCTACAAGGCACAGTCTGGAGTGTGATAGAATACTTCCCACTTGCCTGGATGGGTGTATCACAAACAACACGCAAAAAGCTCGACACCACCCACAGCGAAGCCATTTGTTGGATTAAGACCAAATCCACAAACATCCACTCCTTCTATGTTGACACTCAGAAGCAGCAGTGTGTAAAGTCTACAAGATGCACTGTGAGAATTCACCAAGAATCCTTAGGCAGCACCTTCCAAACCCATGACCAACACTATCGAGAAGGACAAGGGCATCAAATACATGCGAACACGACCGCCTGCAACCCAGTTACTATCCAGACTCAGAAATGTATCACCATTCCTTTAGTGTCACTGGGTCAGCATCCTAATAGCATTATTTTGTTGTACCTACATCAAATGGACTGCAGTCCAAGTACACAGCTCACCAACAGTTTCTCAAAGCCAACTCAGCATAAATAATAAATACTGGCCCAATCAGCAACACCAACATCCATGATTGAATAAAAGAAAATAAAATGAGCACAGACTTTCAGCCATTGTCGCTTTCCACTTCCCAGAGGATCAGTGGTGTCTTGTGATGGTGAGAAATATTTTTCAAGGTAACTCTAATTTCTTACAAAGTTCACCTCAGGGGCCAACGGAATGATAGGTGTCTGCACAGAATTGCTAATCACTCAAAAAGTGGGCTTTTGGCAACTATGCAATAGTTGCATGATTTTTTACTTGTTACAAGTACTAAAATCAATACATGTGAGACTTTACTCTTGATCTGCAGCAAGTGAACTTGCCCTGAATAAACCACAACTAGCTTTTGTGACTTACAGCATCAGGATATTTTAATTACAGAAGAACAGTTAATCAATTGTATTTAATGTCTTCCACAAATGACTCAGCGCCTACCTTCACAGTGCAGTATGAAGTGTTCATTACTGGGGCTGAAGTGGGCACTGAAATAAGTGCAGTTATCTCTATGGAAAGTGCAGGAAAGACACTGGCGATGAAATGATCCAACAGTGTGTACACTATTAAACAAAGCAAACATAAGAAAGCAGGTTACCAACAGAGAATTGTATACCAATGTGCTGTTAGTGACATACTATTGTAATCATAATGCAAATTCAATATGTTTTCACCAAGAAACAAACCATGTATTTACCCCCAAACAAAAACAGGGAATGCCAATGTTGGAAATAATGATAGAAAATGCTGAAAATATCCTTAGTCAGGTGGCATTGGAAATGGCAGGGTTAGTGTTTCAAGTTGATAACATTCCATTAAAACACAACACATAACAGATGAACAGTTAAGAACAGCTATAGAACTGAAGAAAAGACAGCAGGAAGAGTGATCTGTGAATAGGTAAAGAACAGGTGACAATTAAATGACAGAAATAATAATGATTTGATAAATGGAGACAAATCAGAGAAATAAAAGATGGATCCAATTCCCAAAGGATGTGTCTATAAGACCATAAGGTGGAGGAGCAGATGTAGGCCATTCAGTTCATCAAGTCTATTCTGCCATTCAATAAGACCATGGCTGATTTGATAATTCCCAACTCTACTTTACTGCCATTCCCATATAACCCTTGATTCCCTCACTGACTGTTGTATTTGTCTATCTCAGCCTTGAATATACTTAATGACCAATCCTCAACAGGTTTCTGCAGTAAAGAATTCCAGATTCAATACTCCAAGAGAAGACATTCCTCCTTATCTCTGTCTTAAATGTATGACCCCTTATTCTGAGATTATGCCCTCTGGTCCTGGACTCTATTATAAGGGGAAACAACATTTCCACATTTACCCTTCTATTTTCCCATTAATTTTGTATATTTCAATAAAGACAGACTGACTTCTACTAAACTTCTCCTCATAAGATGCTCCCTTCATACCTGGAATCAACCTAGTGAATGTTCTTTGGGCTGCCTCCAATGCTAACATAACTTTCCTTAGATAAGGGGCTCAAAACTATTCACAATATTCTAGTTGTGGTCTGACTTGTGTCTTAGCTAGTTTTATTGAAAAGTCCCATTTTTACACTCAATTTCCTTTGAGATAAAGGGCAACATTCAATTTCCTTCCCTATTTCCCGCAGAACGTGAATGCTAGCATTTTGTGATTCATGGATGAGGACTCCTAAATCCCTCTGCTCCAAAGCTTTCTGCAGTCTTTCTCTATTTAAATAATATTCAGTTTCTCTATTCTTCCTGCTAAATTGTGAAGCCTCACATGTCATTACATTATATTCCTTCTGCCAAGATTTTATCCACACGCTTAACCTGTCTATATTCCTTAATTGACTCTTTCTGTCATCCTCGTCACTTACCTTCATACATATTTTGCGTCAGCTGCAAACTTGGTTATTGAACATTCAGATTTCCCGGCATGGTTCCCTTTCGCACACCACTAGTTATAGGTTGACAGCCTGAAAATGTTTCTCCCTCCTCCTCCGCAGCTTATCCCAACTCTGTCTTCTGTTACTTAGCAACCTTCTATCCATGCTAATGTGGTACATCTAACATCACAAACTGTAATCTTATTAAGCTGCCTAATGTATGATATTTTGTTAAATGCCTTCTTAAAATCTAAATATGTGAGACACACTGCCTCCACTTTATCTAAAAAAAACTGCAGATGCTGGAAATCGAAAAAAAGAAACATAACTTGCTGGAAAAACTCAGCAGGTCTGTCAGCATCTGTGAAGGCAAAACAGAGTTAATGTTTCAGGTCCACCAACCCTTCTTCAGAACTGATTGTAGCTGGAAAAAGGTTGGTATATATGCTGAAGATTAGTTGGAGGGAGGGGGAGGAATAAATAAGAGGTGGAGTTGAAGCCAAAAAGGGAGAACAGTGACAGTAACCTGCACATCTTTGGACTGTGGGAGGAAACCCACACAGACATGGGAGAATGTGCAAACTTCACACAGACAATTGTGAGGCAGCAGTGCTAACCTCTTGGCCACTGTGCTGCACGTGCTTTGGGCTTAATTTTGATCAATACTGTTCGTATCAAATTTGGTGAAGTGAATCAAGTAAAGACAACTCCACATTGAGCAGAATTGAGATCCAGCCAGAAATGACATATTGGAAACCTCAGTGAAAATATAGACTTGTTGTTCCAGTTTAAATAGCCACCGTTTCATAATCATTAATCACATCTCTGTTTGAGCGAAACCTTATTTTTAAACAGGAACAAAAACAGAAGTTGCTGGAAAAGCTCAGCAGGTCTAGCAGCATCTGTGAAGAGAAAATCAGAGTTAATATTTCGAGTCTGGTGACCCTTCCTTCACCGGACCCGAAATGTTAACTCTGATTTTATCTTCACAGATGCTGGTGGACCTGCTGAGCTTTTCGAGCAAATTCTGTTTCTGTTCCTGATTTACAGCATCTGCAGTTCTTTTGGCTTTTATTTTTAAACAAGTATAGATTCACCTTATTTTGTTTACCTGTATAAATGTCTTCCTCTTGTTGAATCTTCTGTACTTAGAAAATATCTAATGAATTAAATTAGATCAGCAAGCCATTAGTTGGTGTTCACATATTTAAAAATATTGTTTTGTGAAGGAGAGATGCAAGCAGTTACCTGTAAATGCAATTAATGTAGTAATGTTATGTGGGAGAAAATAATACTTTAAGAAGTTTATAGTAGGTCAAGTTAAAGCTATTGTAATGGTTGTGCTTCACCAAATGATTATTTCACATCTTTAAAAAAAAAAAACGTGCATTTATATTGTGGTTTTTGTAACGGCTGGACATCCCAAAGCATGTTGAAATTACTTAAGTACCTTTGAAATGAAGTCTCAATTGTGAATAACTTTGGCCTAAATCTTCCAATTAGTGTCAGGGCAGTTCCCACCAATGCTAATCAGAGAAAAAAATACAATTAACTGCCATCACTTTTGCCTACACTTCAAATGTGGCTACTCCCTGGAGACTTTACCACAGAAAGCTGGGCAGGTCTTGATTCGGTGCAGGAGAAGTCAAAATGTGTCCCCTCTTTTCAACACCATCTGCTCTAGTCCAGTAAATAAATTGAAATTTCATAGAACTTTTAATTGTGTTAGAGTAAGTAGGTAAATGTTAAGATGTTTAATTGTGGATGAGGTAAGAGGGTAAAGGGATAGGGTGCTGTCGGTTTTATGTCTGGAAGAGTTAGCACTGAGGCTTGCTTTAAGGAACTCCCACTTAGGGATTGTAAATCAATTGGCAAAATGTTTACCTCAATTGACTGCTATAGAAGCCTTGACTCTGCTTCTCAAAAAGATACAAGGATGCTTTTGGAGCCAGTATCAAGAGAATACTTTTCAGAGGATCAAGAACATGTTGTAATCCATGGACGTGTAATCCATTCTTTCCAACCACCGTAGCAGCTGATGTTTCAGCTACAGGCTTAGAGACAGTGACTGGATGGGTTACAAACTGGTCTTTTACTCATCATGAGCATTAGTAGCCAAGAAAACAAAATAAACTGGAATTGAGAAGGAGGATCTCTCAGTTACAGCCTGCAAGACATGTTCAGGCTGCCTGTTTAACGGATCATACACCTTTAGTTGCTCAACTGCATGAGAAAGAACTAACAAACATGCCTCTAAGAATACAAAGATTTTGACTTTGTCTAATGATTTTCACCCATGAAACACTTTTTACGCTGAGAAAACTGCAGATGGATTCTCCAGAGCGTTGGTTGAAAATATTAACAGCATGATATTGAATTTATTCATGAACTCGAATCATACACACAGTGCACAATGGCACAATAACCAGCAATCCACAATCAGCTTAGTCAGATTTCATCCAGCAAATTACCAGTCTTCCCCGTCCTAGAAGGATGTGCTCCAGGAAATTAGTATAAATCCAGGTGATCTGGAGGTTTCAAAGTTGTGGGTGAGTAGGGTAGTGGTAAATGTAATTAAATACACAAGCATATAACATTAATAATGACAAACAAAGTTTCAGGGGTGCTGTTGTGCATGGGTGTGAAAAGGTTAATACTGAGGTGTGCCATAAGCACCATTCAGTATGATGATGTCAAGACTTGTGGCAGAACAATTTAAGATCTTGAAAGTTTGAGATCTAGCATTTGGTCCTCCTAAAAGTTTCAGTAACAATGCTTGTGATACCAATGTAACCAGTAACTAGTTGCTAAAATGCAATAGACTGCGTTTTGTTAATGATAAAAGATTCTTTTAGTTAGACCAGGGTGAGACTTTCATCTATCTGATATCATAGTTTCCTATGCTTAAAGAGAATGGTGGTAGAACCTTCATTATGAGTAGCAGTTCATTCAACATAGTGAGCAGGCATGGTGCCAGCTGCATTGACTTGCTAGTTGGGCAGGATAGCAGGGTGACAGTGCTAGCTATGTAGGGCACCAACTGTAGCATGGATGGGTAGCAGATGGCACTGTGCCAGCTAGGTAGCTTGGTGTTATAATTCCAATTGAGTAGAGTGGCAACGAAGTAGGATACCACAACGCTTCTGGGTAGGATGCCTGTTGGGCAGGGTGATAGGGTGGCAGATTGGAAGCTGGGTAGGGTGCCATCTATTTATGTTGATAAAGTGATAGCTAGGCAGGTTGGCATCTGGCTCGGAGTATGATGGCAGATGGTAGGGCAGCATGTGTTTGGATGGTTGCATGGCAGCAAGGCAGCTGGTAGGATGGTAGGGTAGCAGGGTGAGAGATGGATTGTGTGACAAGAAGATGAGGTTGGTTTAGCCAGATGTGTTAGGTGACAAGATGGTTGAGAATGAGTTGGGGTTGTCATGGACAGTAGAGGGATGTGGTGGTGGAGTAATTCAAATAGGTAATCAGAAGTTAAAACTGGTTTTAATCAGTCAGTCTAACTTTTCCTTCATAGGTATCTAGGTATATAAGTTGCAACCTTCCAAAGTCTTAAACTCTAATTCAGAGCCCTAATTTTTTGAACAGGTTTCAAACAGGGTTTCAACAAACAGACCAATGTAAGTTTAAGCTTTATGAGCAATTCCTGCCGGATGATCTTGGCCATTATTTCAAGCTGGATACCAGGTGGACAATGACTATATGACAATTCCTTCTTCCTCTGTTGAAACATGAGTATCTTCTGATTGCTTACTGGTGGAATCAGAAGAGGAGGACCTGAACATGTGTCACTACAGCTGGGCAGTCAGTTAATTTCTTCCTAACTGAATAATGTTCACAAGGTTCAGTCCCAACACAATCAGATTCTTCATGACATTAGTTTTAACTGGTTGGCAATTATTCTGGATGTAGTTGGCAGAGATAAGGTTTAATATTGAAAACATTTTGCAGCATAGCTTCTTATGAATGTATTACATAACAGCAATGAAGGATCTGGAGGGGAGGTTTGAAGCCAATTACAATGTCAATCAACACTGCACTGCATTTCTCATTTCCTTAATGTGGCACCAAAAAGATCTGACTCTACTTTGAAAATCTCACCAAAGTGGTAGCTATAGATTAAATAGACAGAAGGTTGGTTACCTTCCCACATTTGATAGTTCTTGGAGTGGAGATGGGGAGGGTTGTAGTTTGAATGTTATCTTGAGTCTTTATTCCAACAATTTAATTCAGAATTGAAGCAAAGAACATGTCTTTTATGGATAACACTCTAATCTTAAAATGCATTTGAAAATATTTATTTTTGAAGAATCAAGACTTAAAGCTTATACTCAGTCAAACAAAATTATTAAATAAAATGTGTATGGCCACATTATCATTCTGTCAAAAAGGAATTCTTAATACTTACATCTGAATATTATGTCAAAAGCACAGATTGGACAACATAACTTTATTCTGAACCACCTCAGAACCCTTGCAACAAAATATTTCAATGCACATATCTTCCCAAAGTTTAATATAAATAATACATTTGATCTTGTTAATAAAACACAAAAGAGCTGACACTTTTGTAATTGTTCCATTACTATATCATGTGTCATTATTCAAAGAGTCAGTTTGGCGATGTAGAATATACTCACATCTTTTGATGAACTTCGTCATATCCAAGGATTTGTGTGACTTCCCAATTTCCTGATGTCAGGTGACGCACGCTGCTCAGTTCACTTTTAGGCTGCAAATTTCAAATAGAGGCATTGATAATGCAAAGTACGATGAAAATCATAGATGCATCAATATAGCACGCTTTAGAAACTATAGAATTTAAAAGTAAATAATTTTTAATTGTAAATGTATTGTTTTACCAAATTGGGTGTTCCATTCACAATTGCCTGTGTATAACACAAAAACTTCAGATTTTTAAAAAAATTCTGCTAATTAATGTGAGGGACCATATTTGAAGGCCATTTCTCCCCCATATTGGACCTCAGTTTCAGAGAGAACTAAAGGTTTTATCAGTGTCAAGAAGAGATGACATTTTAGGTCAGACAATGCATGTTAGGTGTAAGACCTTGTTTAGAATCTGTTTGTGTTTTAGTTTGGAGTCAGACTAGTTTTATTTCTAAAGTAGAAATTTATGAAACGCCATATTGACTGACTGTCTATAAATTGTGTCCCTCGGGACCGTGGCTTGAAAGGAATTCAGGGATTTACATATACATATTAACCAATTAAAATATTCCAACTAATTAAAGATTTAACAGCATCTTAGGTTTGTTTAGTACATCCTCATCAGTGATGTGAACCTTTGATCTTTGACTTATAAATTCTGTGTCTGATACTGCCTCTCTCACTAACACCTGAAGGAGGACTGAGGCTCTGAAAGCTTGTGTTTTCAAATAAACCCATTGGACTATAACCTGGTATCATGTGATTTCTGATGTTGTATCACTAATATCTTCTAGGGGTCTGAAATGACTTGTGTCAACATGTGTCTGAATATACATTTATTACACTTCTATCTGCCCATTCAATAGGCTGAATTAAACACTGTCTGTACCTCATCACCCTTACTGACACCCAAAGACTTACAAGATTCTAATCCAACGAAAACCATCTCCTCAAAACCCAAGAGCAAGAATAAGAATGGCTGCCATTCCTGCTGGCACGACTGATAGATCAAGAGCCTCTGAATGGCTGCCAGCTCTCTGAGATGGGGCTTCCTATGCTGGAGGGGCAGAAATCCTTCCTCCAGTCTATTACCAGCCTTAAATAACTATGGGAGAACTGCTGTTCTTCAGGGTGGGCTCTTCCCCTCAAAACAACATTTCAGCCGGGGATGGGGTGGGATACAAAGGCCATGACACCCAAAAAATTCATTCTAATAGAAAAGAAATATCAGGAAGGATGTAAGACAGGTAGTTAGTTTACTCTGAAAAATTTTTGATCATCGCTTGAACTTAAAATTATTTCACTCACACACAATAAATATACTGATAAATTTCCATAGTCAAGCCACCCGGGTGATAATTTGACAAACAGAATTGCCTTCTTGTTCACCAATCATCCTTGTTCTCACAACAAATATCAGCTTTAGTAAGTTACAGTTCCATTTAAAAAAGAATTCCATGCCTTTCCCTTCACATTTTCTGTAATATTCTCCAGATAACTCTGCAAGCTCTGTAGACCTCTAACTCTGGTCCCTAGCATTCCCAATTTAATCACTCCATTATTCAAGACACTGCCTTCAGTTATCAAAGTCCTAAAAGCGCTGGAGTTCCTTCTCTGAATTTTTCTATCTCTCCTTCCAAAGGATACATCTTTCAATCTTGTTGGTCAAATATTATCTTATGATAAACAGCACCAAATCTGCAGTAACCAAATCGACAGTGTGATAATCTATTTACCAATGGTCCTGCCCACCAAATCTGTTATACGCATACAAGACTTGAACTTTGTACTACTGACATGCCAAGAATTCAGACCACTTTCAACTGAACTGCCTTCAGAAGCTTCTGAAGATCAGAGGCCAGAACAAAATACAGGTCACCCAGGTGGGTATACTAAGCATCTGCACCTTATTGAGACCAGTGCTACAAATGCGTGGGGATGCATGTAAATTTACCCCAAAATTCACAAAACCGCAGAGAAATTTCCATCAATTTGGCTACCTTACGGAGTTCTGGGGAGAACGTGTATGGGATTGTCAGGTTGGCAGGGATGCCAAGGCTGGGGAGGTGCCTGGCAGGAGATCCAACTGCTGGGTCTTGATGGGTAAAGGAGGGCAGCTGCGGGGGGAAGAAAGAGGCTGCATCTGCAAGGGTGAAGGTGTCGAGAAGAAAGACATTGCAAGGGGTTTAGGGGAGGAAAGAAGCTGAAAGGGGATGTGGGAGAGGAAATGCTGCAAAGGGCTTGAGAGAAAGAGAGACAGGGAATGATGAGGAGGCTGAACATGGGTGAGAGAGGGAGGTTGCAAGCAGATGAAAGGATAACTGGAAGTGGTGAAAGAGGTAGGCTGCGTAAGTCAGGAGGAGAGGGAAGCTGCAAGGGGCAGGGGACAGTCAGCTATAGGGGTGAAAGAAAAGCTAGAAAGAGGGAGGCTGCAAATTAGAGAAAACAGATTTAAAACTGTCATCAAAAACATACTCAGCCAACAAAGAGCCAAAGTCAATCAAGTCAGGAATTCCTTAAAAATTAATATGGAAACTTTAGTTTAAGGCTGCATATGGTCACAATAAATAGTGGATGCTTTGAATGCATCAAACACAGTGTCAATGGTTAAATTTAAATCTGAGATTGAGATTTGTGATGCTGGTAAGAGGGTACTAAGCTGCTTACTTACTACCTTTCAGCTCTAGTGTTTGTTGTGCCTTCCCAAGCCTGTGGAAGGTGTAGTCAAGGTGAAGGTTGCTTTAAATGTGCAGAGGGAAGTCAGTAATGTAAAAAAATTGCTAATTATATTTGCTATCTTGTGCCAAATTAAATAGAGTGCTATCAACAAAATGAATGCATTTATTGTATGTTATGGATTAAAGCTTAATGGAGGGTTGTCAATTATTGAGGATATTAATTCCACTGCTCATGCATTTGTGCAAATTCAATACTTCAAACGCTAATAAAAATACTGAAGGTATTGTTACTGTGTGCGGTATCATCTATTAAACAAATTAGCAACAAGAAAAAAGGGATCCCTTAAAATCAGATGTAACCATTGAGAAAAGCTCACAAAGAACCCTTGAAAAGAAAGAAGTAAATTTGGTATCTTGATTGTGAAAGTCACCACTGAGTTAGAGTTTTCATGTAGTTAGAATTCCTGACACACGCTCACCAAAGTGAGTTTTTCTATTGACAGTTTGAGTGATAGTCATGAAAGTGAGCTGAAAAAAATCAATGTACTATAAGAAAAATCTAACTGTTGAAATGTTAATTGGATACAAAGTGATTCCATCATTGAAAGTTACAAAAGTAGTGTCTACGTTTCAAGTTGGAGATTTTAATTTCCCCTGTATTGACTGGGCCACCCAGAGTGTAAAAGGCCTGGACGGGGAAGAATTTGTCAAATGTGTCCAGGAAGTTTCATAAATCAGTGTGTAGACGGCCCTATACTGGAGGATGCAACACTGGACCTCCTCTTAGGAAATGAGGTCGGGCAAGTGACTGAAGTGTAAGTCAGACAGCACTTTGGGTCCAGTGACCATAACGCTCTTAGTTTTAACATAGTTATAGAAAAAGATAGGACAGGTCCACAGGTTAAGGTGCTAAACTGGAGCAGGGCCATTTTTTGGGCTATCAGGCAGGATCTAGCAGAGGTCGATTGGGTGAGTCTGTTTGAAGGAAAAGGAATGACTGGCAAATGGGAGGCTTTTAAAAGTGTGATATCGAGAGTCCAGGGACAGTATGTCCCTGGTAGGGTGAAGGGAAAAGCTGGCAGGTTGAGGGATACCTGGCTGACAAGGGATTATGAGGCTCTGGTCAAGAAAAAGAAGACATACTTTAGGTTTAAGCCATTGGGCTCAAGAGAATCCCTAGATGATGAGAAAAAGTGTCAGAGCACACTCAAGAGGGAAATCAGAAGCGCAAAAAAAGGGTTTGAGATTGATCTGGCAGATAAGATTAAATATAATCCTACGAGATTTTATAGTTACATTAAGAATAAAAGGGTGGCTAGCGAGAGAATAGGTCCCCTTAATGATCAGCATGGATTTCTACTGTGTTTACAGAAGAGAAAAACATGGATGCTAAGGAAATAAGGGAAACAAGTGGGGATGTTTTGATCGCATACACATTACCAGAGAGGAGGTGTTTGCAGCCTTAAAGCATATTAAGGCGAATGAATCCCCTGGGCCTGATCAAGTCTATCCTTGGACATTGTGGGAGGCCCTTGCAGACATTTTTTGCTTCATCTTTAGCCACTGAAGTTCCGGAAGACTGGAAGGTGGCTAATGTTGTTCCATTGTTTAAGAAAGGCAGCCAAGACAAGCCAGGGAACTACAGGCCAATGTGCCTGACATCAGTGGTAGACAATTATTGGAGACAATACTGAGGGATAGGATCAACCAACATCTGGATAGTCAAGGTCTGATTAGAGATCATGGATTTGTGGGTAGGAAATCATGTCTGACAAATCTTTTAGAGTTTTTCGAAGAGGTAACCAAGGGGATGGATGAGGGTAGGGTAGTGGATGTTGTCTATGCAGACTTTATTAAGGCCTTTGACAAAGTTCTGCACGGCAGGCTAGTCAGGAAAGTTTGGTCACATAGGAGGCAGGGAAAGCTAGCTAATTGGATTCAAAATTGGCTTGGTGGTAGGAAGCAGAGGATGATGGTTGAAGGTTGTTTCTCGGACTGGAGGCCTGTGACTAGTGGTGTGCCACAGAGGTCGGAGCTGGGACTTTTGTTATTTGTTATTTACATAAATGATCTGGATATGAAGGTACAAGGCATGATTAGTAAGTTTGCGGATGATACAAAATTAAGAGGTATTGTTGACAGTGAAGAAGTTTATCAAAAATTGCATAAGGATCTTGATCAGATGGGGAAGTTGGTTGAAGATGGCTAATGCAATTCGATAGTCAAATGGGAGGTGTTGCATTTTGGCAAGTCAAACCAAACTTATACAGTAAATGGTAAGGTCTTGAGGAGTGTTGTGGAACAGAAGGACCCAGGAGTACAAGTACGTAGTTCATTGAAAGCGGCATCACAGGTGAACAGGATGGTGAAGAAGGCATTTAGCATG